TAATTGCCGTAGCTTAGTACATTAAGTCCATAACTTAGCAAATTTTTCCAAAATATTAATAAGAACCGTGGGCTTTCCTTAAGCCTTAGGAGAGGTTTCAACCAATAAGATCTTGATACTTTTCATAAGAAGAGATTGCTTACTCATCCAAAGCTTAATTGAGAGGTTAGCAAGTGTAAGGAGAAGAGATGGCCACGTTGGTGCACCATCATCACACCCCTCGGCCGTGCATCTATAAAAGGAGAGCATTTGGGAAAATTTTCCCCACCTTTTCTCCTATAAGTTCAGCAGAATATATCAGCCTTCCAGCAACCCTTACACTCCATAATTCTCCCAAGTTCCATAGCTATCGCACGGCATAAGCTTGTACCGCACGGCGAGAAGAAGCCACGCTTAATTCCGATTCCCGTCGAGCGTTCCAGGAGGTAATCCCTTTTTCAGTTAATATTCAGAGTCATAAAGTCATATTAAGCTGAAGTGTTCGGTTAAATTGTTGGAATTTCTGATTTAATCACCCTTAAGTCCGATCATGTATAAGTAAGGTTATCGCCGAACAATCTTCATTTTCTTTCGGCAACTCTCGAGTTATAAGCTTTTAAATGATCAGTTTGGGTTATTGTTAGGTCAGCGTGATCAAGTTGTCGAGACAAAATGGAGAAAAGCCGATGATATGGCCCCAGCCGGCGCCCCCGCGCCTATCGCGCGTAGCCTCGGGTAGCCGCGGGCCGAGGCTTGTACTTCATATTTAACCGAGTTCTTCCGTGTGATTAAGTTTCATTTTGTTTCAGTATAGTAATCATATGAACTTGTTCAGTAGTGGTCGAGTAAAAAGGGTGTTCGGCCGAGAGACGGCAAATAGCCGTCGACGGGCACGGGCATCCGTCACGGCCAATTTTGTGTTCAGTATGCATAATCAGAGTCTAAGTGAAATTCAGTTATATTAAGTGCAGATAAAGTAAGTCGGTTAAGGTACTTGGTAAGATAGGAAGTAACCGAGGGCCGTAGGCCGCACCTCGCACGTAGCGAGGGCGTGCGGAGGCATGCCATGGCCGAGGGTACGGCTTAACAAGTAAAGTTCAGTAGATCCTGTGTAAAGTCAGTTCAAAGGTCATGTTAGGTCATAACATGCTGGTTGAAGTCAGTTCGG